TGCCGGCGGCGCGTGATCGTGCGTCGATAGGCCGATGCCGCGTGGCCTCCAACGCCAGCCGACGATCGCCGCCCGTCGCCGCCGACGGCGTGGCGAGGAGGCCGCGCGGCCGCCCGTGAGACGAGCGGAGGCGGCGCTGACGGGGCGAGCTCGCCGCACGGCCACCTTGACAGTCTCGGGAGGACCGACCCACACAACTGGCGGACGTGGCCAAAAACACGTGCGTGACATGTGGAAATGTCGGGTTGCCGTTGATGAATGAAAGCAGTTTTCTCCCGATTCTAGTGAGATTTCCCCTGAGTGAGTGATCAAATGTTGACGTCTTCCGTACGCAGCTTGATATTTTATTTGATTTCAACAAGTTTTAGAGACAATCTTATGAGGGTCTTTTCCAAGTCAGACATTATGTTCGATGTAGCAAGATCTTAAATATCTAATAAATATAAACACATGCATACATAAATGCATAATTATATGTAGCTAGATATAGCTATGAATGTAGGTGAATTGAGACGGATGCCGCCTATGAACGTCCTGAAAATCTGGTCTTCCAAGTCCCAATAAAGCTGGGACTACTATGTGTCAGGATGGCATACCTTCATTATGATTCACTCGCTTTCCCGTTATGACATTCTGGCGCAGCAGCTTTGCAGCCGCGCCGTGATCAGGCGTCGGCGCGACAAGCCGTCGGCAGAGCCAGGAGGGCGCTGGCGCGCCGTCAGCCCGCCGCGGCCAGGTGTGGAAGCGGCCCTCAGGGCGGCGCAACAGCGGCCAATTTCGGCCGGCGTAATGGCAGGCCGTGACCAGCGCTCAAGTGAGCCGCTTAGCCGGGCGCGGCTCAGCATGACGACCGGACCGGGGCTTCGCGGCGGCTGGACGCCGGTCACGCCGACCCCTAATCCCGGGGGATGCGGACAGGGGACTCGGGGCTGTTAATGGCGCCGCCAGAGGTCACGGAGGGTCACAAACGGAGACGGCACAGCACGGCCACCAGTGAGCGAGCGACGGCACAGCACGGCCACCAGAGAACGAGCGACGGCACAGCACGGCCACCAGAGAACGAGCGACGGCACAGCACGGCCACCAGTGAACGAGCAACGGCACAGCACGGTCACCAGTGAAAGAGCGACGGCACAGCACGGCCACCAGTGAACGAGCGACGGCACAGCACGGCCAGCAGTGAACGAGCGACGGCACAGCACGGTCACCAGAGAACGAGCGGCGGCACAGCACGGCCACCAATGAACGAGCAACGACGCAGCACGGCCACCAGAGAACGAGCAACAGCATGGCACGACCACCAGAGAACGATCGACGGCACAGCGCGGCCACCACTGAACGAGCGACGGCACAGCACGGTCACCAGAGAACGAGCGACGGCACAGCACGACCACCAGAGAACGAGCGACGGGATAGTACGGTCACCAGTGAACGAGCGACGGCGCAGCCCGCCTTTCGGCAAAGGGACTTCAGATGAGCGTGGCTCACCGAGAAGGTGCCGACACAACCTGGATGGTCAAGCTCGGGAGCCATTAGGGCACTGTTACGGGAAGGCAGAAAGTGATCTGTCCGCACACAAGTTGCCAGGCGACCACCACCCACGAGAATACAGGAAGATTATATACATCGATATATAAACAGACAAATAGGACAATGTAATCGAAGAAATAGACAGATGTAACAATGTATAGATGAATATACAACTTTTGTAGTACGTATCGGCGATGCAACGTTACATCCATGGGCTTATGTAAGAGTTATGGGGGTCATTCTTGACAGCAATCTCACTTTCAAAAGGCATGTTTGTGTTATGACGAGAAGTTGATAGGTGACATTGGCCAGTCTGTCCAGATTTTCGAATAGGCTCCCAAGAGAACTGAAAAACTTTTCGCGGATATTTTAGTTTTCCGCGCATTGTCTGCCGCACGACTGTTCGGGCTGGATGCAATGCGACACAGCGTAAAAATATCTAAAAAAAAAAACTTTTAACCTCGATACGACAATTGTCAAATGCTGCCCTTGTCAGGAGCGGATGACGGCGATCTTGTGGGAATGCAAATGTAACAAAGATAACAATCTTGTTGACGAGCAAGACCTGGCCATGACACACCATTTTATCCATAATGTGGTTGCAACGACCTGTCTGAAAATTGTTTTATCGCACCGCGAGACAGCGTCCGCCAGAGAAACCTGAAGTTCAGTGACAGGGCTTCTGCACCTGCCCCGTGTCCGTATCGAGCACGCGCGACTACCTTTTAGACTTCGCACTACGGTCGAGAGGAACCAGACTCCTGACAAAGTGCGAGACGCTGTTGTTATTTCGGGATCCGTAAGCAGATGATGGAGTGACTGACGACCAGAAAAAGAGGTCCAGGACAGAACTTCCACAGCGACCAAGGTCCTGAATAATCCTTCCGGCCCGTCGTACGTTTTGACCAAATGTTGGAATACCTCTCTGGCGTTCGCTCGTGCGTATAGGGTACAATCTCACCTTAGTGCCGCTTGATCTGGGAAAAAAATTTAACCGCGGGCCGAGATGTTTTACCAATGCACGCATATAGTTATCCTGACAAAAATACGATTGGAACCTGGAGCTTCTGTTTCGGACTGCAGCTGCTGCTGTGGATGCTTTGCAGCGTTCAGGCTAGTGTTTGGTGATAAACGACATTTGTGGCAGAGTGTGCGCTTCTGAAAAGTTTAAATGGTGGGTGAAAACAATTGCCCTCGTAGATGGCGGCTCTCATACAATCCCATACTACGGTTAGACTGAACAACTTCTTGCCTGCTTATGGTATTCCTCTCCGATACTATAACCCAAGTATGGAAGTGTGGTGGGAACAATGACTTTAAACTGCTCTCCGTGTCCCTTGCAACAGCATTTGGTAAAAGGCTACCACCACAGATATCTAATGTCGCACAGTGCCACAATTGTCAGAAGCTGCCGTTGTCAGAAGCGGATGGGGGCGATTTTGCGTGAAATGTAATGTCCCAAAGACGACAGTCTTGTCGCCGAGCAAGACCTAGCCATGGCACATCGTCTTCTGCTTAACGTACATGCTCGGACCTGTCTAAGAAAATTTGTTTTCGTACCGTGGTATTAGATAGACATGTTCACCACATGAGGACTGGAATTAGTTTCCAGCACCTTGATGACTGTGGGATTTCTTCCCTGAACCTCAAGCGTCGGACGGAAATTGCAACATCAAACACGGTCCTGGAAAATTAATCTGCTGCCCCCATGTGGCATTATATAATCCCAGCACTTGGCACAAGTGTGGAAACGATATTTTGCGAATCAGAAACATTTGTACCACCCTTGCTGTTTGGAAGGCGTTTTTCTTGCTGTAAAACCTTCGATTTTTTATGTATTCGTGACGCTCGTCCTGAAAAGCCCTTTTGGCGAAGGATGTAAGCATACACGATGGCGATGAGGATTACTCGTGAGGGCAGGTATTCGCCCGGGCCCAGGCCGGTGCGTGGTGGTCTTGTGCAGCCGCCGCAGCAGACAGTGGGGTGTGTGCCCCGGTCCCCCGCAGGGAGGGGGGGTGGGGGGGGGGGGGGGGAGTGGACGATGGGTTGACGCGTCGGTCGGCAGAATGTAAGTGATGCCCCTCTTATATTGGCTTGTGTCTTTCAACCCTGAAAGCGTCGGAACGACTCGGGGCAGTCACTAGTTGGGATACCACGAAATCCTCGGAAAAGGACTGCTGAGCTATCGAGCCTCGAGGTTGGATCATGCCATGTCTGTTCAACTATCGACCCATCCTATCGAGCTTGAAGCCGTGAAGTGCACATGCGTCTACCCGCTTTCAGAATCGCGGAAAAAGCGACCACCGCATCCGACTCGTGTTTGAACGGGAGGCGAGACAACAAACTGAGATGTATGGTGTCGCGATGTTCCCCCATTTGAGGCTGGCACCACCCTCTATGACGCTTACCCGACAACGTTTTTTTCTCACCGACGCTTAACGACATAAGTGGGGTATGAGCAGCGCGGTAAACACTCTTGGCACGTGCCTCAAGCACGCTGTTTTACCCGCTGCTCATCGTGGCGGATGAGCTGGCATCTGAAGAGCTTCACATCTCTCACCAGAAAAGGGTGGCGTTTCAAACCGCCCTCGGTTTGCCGAGAATATGATGCGAACCGTGCCGCGCATCATACTCGCTTTTGGGAAGACTGAATTCAAAACAGCTCTGAGAATAACGACCACACCTTTAAGACCACTGACATATGGTCTTCATTTCGAGGGCTCAGGACGGCGAAAATGTAGAAAATCAGCGCTTCAATGCACTATTGGCGGCACACACTGCATCGACCTATCTACAGGTTCCAAAGATGACCAGCGGTGATACAATGCACGTGATCATCGTCAGTGCACTGTGAAACAACTATTCAACGTCCGGGTAACACCGAGTGAAGCTTAGGTCATACGTCAACTTTGCTCGTCAAGACTAAAGAGCCTCACTGCAATGAGCGATTTGTGAGTTAAAGCTTAGGTGCTATTAAACGTTGTGGTCACGTGGGGTCGAACTGGAAAAAAGTCGATGACGTAATGTTGGTAGGCATTCACAGTGCGGCAATGTCACTATAACAGACACATCAAAAGTATCAAATCTTAGATCCTAAGTCACGAAAGGTCATGTAACACCTACAGAGGGCCTGGAAAGATCCGTTGAATGTGCATGAGAGCGTGCTTTGACTGGAACAGCTTTGCTCTGTGCGCATAAGAAAGGCCAAACTGAGAAAGCAAAATCGAGATCTTGCCTGCTTTGCCCGTCTAACATATGATGAACCTTAGAAGACTGCCAACATCACGCATTGAGAGTTACAGACCACGTACAGAGCTACTGGCCTGTTTTGGAATGCACTCATAGAAAATAACGGTCCTACGTTAAACAGAAAGGCAGATGAGATGCCGGGCGCCCCTCGTGACATTCCAGCGCACAGGGACCCTGCTCCTGTGTTTTCGGCACCAGAAGAGCAAGGTGAAGTTTCTTACTTGGGAAGTACGTGGCCGGCGGTGTAGCCCATGGTCCGCAGCTCTTTGGAGACCATGCCGTTGGCTCCAGTCTTCCGCTCATTCGACTGTGGGCGGGGAATCGTGTGTTGAACGAACCAGCACCTTGCAGTTGGCAGTAAGAGCAACCCTCAAACCGAGCTGGTGGTCAGAGACATGTGATCCTCCCAGAGGACGAGACTGCATCTCTCCCCTTCCCCCCCCCCCCCCACCCCCCAGCCAACCTCCCTGGTGTCGGGAGCAACACGTGCACCCTCTCACCAGGGGAAGAGAACGGCTGCTCCACAGGGCAGGGCACGTAAATCGATTCAGTGCGGGCGGCGAAAGCCGTCCAGGTCATCCATCACTGATCAGATCTCACCACTCTACAAAAATGCTGGTGCTTTTTCCTTTTTCGACCAACGCGTACTCCAGTCACATCTTAAGCTTACTCCGAACGCCGGACACTTTCTGTAATCGATACACAAATGTGCCGCGATGCATGCAGTTGCGCGGGTTGTCGGTGGACTGCGCGTCTTCCGGTACGGTCTTTTAGGGCTAGAAGTGTTGACCTCCGCAAACAACACGTTCGTTTTCCTGCCGACCACACCCCTCTCAGGCACCCATCGCACTCTGCTGCCGGTGTACCCGTGCCTCTGCTCCGAGCACGAGCCGACCACACCTCTCTCAGGCACCCATCGCACTCTGCTGCCGGTGTACCCGTGCCACTGCTCCGAGCACGAGTGTCGGTAGTGGGTTATTTAATGACTCGAGTGGTGCAAGGCCCCATTCAGACTGCACTGGCAGCTCCAGACAGGGAAAAGCGGAAGGCCATGAGTCGGAGCCGGGTCCCGGTCTCGATGGCATGGCGTCGCAGCGGCACCAACAGGTTCTGACAAAGGATAACGCTGGCAGTTTTACTGGAAAAAGTGTGAGTCGATGTGTGTAAGCGATCGTGTGGTCTCGCGCGTAAACCGCAGATTTGCCCATTGTCAGACGCTTTTAAAGGGATGAATGTTCCACATTGGAAAACATTGAAGCAAGTACCAGACGTGATGAAAGAAGTTCACTTATAACTACTGGTGTACTTTTAAATGAAAATGCTGGTCTAGGCAACACTATTTTTCTGTTTGGTAAATATGCTCCCCAATACGTCATTGTTTGATAAAGTCATCGTATCTTGCACAATAATGGTTGCGAGACAATTGACGACCGTTAAATTTGGAAATCGTGCTCACGAGCAACAGATATGAACGACTCGACAATTATATTTTGTTTGGTATTGGTCGCCGCATGGTTAGTGGAATGGCAGGATAACGTTCGAATATTTGAATATTTTATATATTTTCGAATATTTGAACATTAATATTTATTTTAATAATTAACTATTTGAATAACGTTATTATAATGTCATGAGTGCTTGACAGACCTTGAAACAGTTTTCCCTAAGATGTCTGTAGATCTTCGCGGGCTTTTAGCTCAGAAATCAAAATAATTTAGGCCTTAAGGAGGGCAGGGCTGTGAACGGCGCTAAATGATCTTCAGGGTGGCTTTTTCAGTGGCTTAAAAACCCAATAGAAATGTGGAGCACTCCCTTAGAGTAACGCTAGATCCCAGACAGCGGAGCCAATCTGAAGACATGAAGCAGGCTGTCGGCGAACGAAACGTAGCTATTGCAACTCTATAACAGATTGCAAGACACTACGGCAAAACAACGGGAGATTGTGTCATGATAACTGCACCGACAGATGTTTTTGGTTATTTTCCCCAGCACCAACCGAAAAACCTGCGTTTTTGTCACGCTTCGAAGAGAGCCGTCGACGGCGTTAATCTTTGTAACTTCCTCGACTTCGTCAGCTGAAACTGTCAGGACCGGCTAGGCTCAGGGCCAGCCAGCTCTCAACAATATTTGTCAACAAGAGCGCTTGCGCCACATCAGCGGACCTCCGACCGTTGAGCACTCATCAAAGGCGGACTTTCCAACACATCAATCAAACCTACTGGTGCTGTTTAGGGAAGATGCCTAGCTCCATTACCTTCGTCTGGTTTGGCATTCAGTACACGACGACAGCTGATAGCCCACGCGCCTGGCACCGCTTCGCTCGTCGCATGTCGCCCGGGGCGTTTTGCCGGTTAATTTGACGCGCGGAAAGCGTGGGCACACTTTCCGGAATTGACTGCTCTCTTTCCACAAGTCAGGAATTTTGAATCAGTTTGCGCGGCTTTGGGCACATAGAGTGTCATCTAGCTGTACTGTTCATAGTCCACAGTCGTGGTCAGAACCATGGCTTCGTGGCCATAACATGGTTTCGTGGCGTCATGGCCGCAGCGTTGCAGCCGATACCGTTATGGCGAGGGCAAAGCGCAGGGTGGCAAATGTTCAGCTGCTGTAAACCTGACCGTCCCTAAATGCCTCAGAGAAATTACAGTGGGTTTCATTTCCCGGAACACTGTGATTTAAGCACGTTTTTGTAACACAATCCTCGGTAAGCGCCCGCATACCAAAATTTCCTTACGTCCCACGAAACGAGGCTTGGATTTCCTTTTCCAGGAAGATTGATGGTCTCAGGTCGAAATGTTCTATACTCCAAAGGTGTAAAGCTTCTCGAAATTTCCAGTTTAACCTTATTTCCCAGACTTGGGCGTGGAAAGGTACGGCTGGGCAAGTTGGTCCTTGAGCCCGTAAAACACCAATGTATAGCCTATAGTAGCAACGCAAGGCTGTGCTTATATCTAAGCACAACTCAAGCTTGTCACTTCAGCATCGCTCGGAGCATCCTGTACCAGTCTAGTCTGAATAGAGTAGTGTACCACTGAGGAACATGTCGCTGATGCCACCAAAAAACACCTGGCATCGTATCTATCATTTCCAAGCATTAGTTCTAAATCTGCTGTCACACACACACGAGCCAGCCAGTACCAAGGGAGAATTACCGCAAACGGAAAACGGAAAGAAGTCGAGTGTATTATACCTTTAATCCTCTAAGAGGTATCGGGAACGCCTGGTGCCATCAGGGGACACCGAGAAGCACCAAGGACTCCCACGAACGCGAGTCCATTGAGCGTCCTCAGAGGACACCGCGCGCGAGCATTCCCCCCGGATCGCCGCCGTGATACGAGACACGCCGACGCGACACCGCCCGCGGCCGGACGCTCACCGTCTGGTAGCGGCTGGCCTCGTCGGCGATGATGAGGAACGTCTCGATGTTGTGCTGGCGCAGGTACGCGTGACGCAGCTTTCCGTTTCCTGGCTCGACGCTGTACGAGCCGTTCAGGCAGGCGAGCGTCTCGGCTGTTATGTGGATCCGTCTGCGGGGCGACAGGCAGATGGCACAGCGAGGTGAGCGTGGGGACGTTCTCACGGCATATCTTCGGAGGTTTTGACTACCCGCGCAATTAGCCGCTATTAAGAGCGCAAGTTTCCCAGCATGTCTCCTGACATCGTGTACAGTAACCAAAATGTGACAAAGTGCACCACCTAAGAAACATTTAAACTTGATGCACATTCAAGGTACCACTATTCACAAAGACGAGGTGTGTGGAATACGGTATTAAGAAAGGAATGGGCTGATTCCATCTAGTTGAGTTAAAGTTCAAAAGATCGTTTTCGGACACAATTCAATTTGGCTTATGTCGAGTCCGATTTACCAACGTGCACAGCCTCAGGGTTGAGCCAGTTTTAGGCTCACATAGTCTTGAGTTTAAATCCCATATTTTTCAATTACTGCGTCAGTCCGAGGTCGAACCTTATTTGTTCACGACATCAGCTGATTCACTTGAAGCCAAGTTCAATCATCGTCCGAGTGCGCCCGGTATCGGACGCAGGTGAAACCACTACCACTCCAGCCAAGTCGCGTTTGTACAACAAGCTTCATGTCAAGGTAGGCTTTTACCAACATGGGCATTTTAAGCCAACACTGTAGCATTTTATGAAAGTAGCCAAGCCTTTAGAAACATTTTATATTTCGAAGACGTCATACGTTTTATTGTGATGCCGTTGGGTAATATTCATATCCGTTGCCAATTAACAGTACAAACCCACCGCGTTGTGAAAGGGTCCTTCGGCTGACGTTGAAGTGCACTAGATAAGTTCGTGGAAAATTGGTCGAATTTGAAAAATGTCCACCAGTGACGGTAGAAAAATTTGCAAACCCGCGGCAACAGCCAGTAATAGAACGTGGAATTTTGGGCACGGCAGCATAGCAGCGTGGCTTCCACGGTTGCTAGCCGCTTCCAGCGGCCCGCTGTCGCCACCAGCCATCGCCGGCGGGCTGCCATGGCTACCAGCCGTCGCCGGCGGCCCGCCGTCGCTGCCAGCCACCTCCGGCAGGCCGCCGTCGCTGCCAGCCATCGCCGGCGGGCGCCATGGCCGCCAGCCATCGCCGGCGGCCCGCCGTCGCTGCCAGCCACCGCCGGCGCGCTGCCGCGGTGAATCACAGACAGGCCGGAAGCAGAGGTCACGGTCGGGGTTATCTGTCTCGCCCAGGCTACGGCCGAGACACGACCTCGCTCCGACAACTTGGCATTCAGACAATGACGACACGCGTTACACAACCCAGGTGGTCCCCGAACTCGGCTGTGGATGTCATCCGGGACATTTTCAGTTAGATGTAACTTTTGCTGCCTATTGCGTGGTTTTATTTTCTCGATTGGTGATTGGATTAGAGACCTCGGCATGCACAGACTCTTGTCGAAGCGCTGACGTCATCACCCAGCTTGCAAACTACGGAATCATTTGGTCCGCAGCATGTTGGTTACATGGCGCTGGGGTCTTCTTCTGAAATCTGCAACGCGACATAGAACGCCATGACACGGCCATACGCGGCGAATGTACCTGAGCCCTGCTTGCCGAGGAAATGCTGCGCTGGGCTGAGATCTGAACCCACGTGCGGGGTGCGTTGATCTGACCGGGTCCGTTACTCGCTTCGACACGGCGAAAGCAGCCTTACCGCTGCGACGCCGAGACGGGCCAGGTCCTCACCATGATATATATGCAATGTCTGTGTCGGCGGCTCTCACGACCTTACTGACCCCGGCAACGACCTTACTGACCCCGGCAGACCGCTGGACTCCATGTAGTTGGCCAGCGTGACGTCGTTGGACCACACGTCGAACTGCCACTTGCGCAGTCCGAGCACGCCGCAGTGGACGCGACCCGTGTGGATGCCCACACGCATGTCCACATTGACACCAGTGACCTCGCGCACCAGCCTGTGGGCGGAGCGGTCACCTCATCAGCACCACGGAGCACGAGGTGGTGACACATCGGCACAGACGGCATCACAACACTTACGCCCTCTATCAGAATAAACCGTGGGATCACAGCTCAGATGGTCTCAAAACCACTCCAGCATGGAGGGCATCGCAAACGCAGAGGTGATATCAGAACAGGACGCACGGCAGCACATCACGGTGGTACAATAGCACATCACGGTGGCACGGAGGCACATCACGGTGCCACGGTAGCATATTACGATGGCACGGTGACACATCACGATGGCACGGTGGCACATCACGGTGGCACGGTTCCACGCCAGTCAATAGTCGGAAGTATACTACCAGGGTACTGACGCTTGATCAGGTCGCTGATTATCTCTGTCGGGAAATGGAGATCAACAAGCCTCCGTGGTCCAGGGGAAAAATGCTGGACTCGTAATCCAGCGGCGCTGGTTATGTGTCCCAGAGAAGGCGCATTGTTTGGCCCGATCGATATGGAAAGGTCAGCTGGCAACTGGCCAACGAGGGTCAACTCAAGCCCGGGGCGGCCGCGCCGCAGCATTGCGCGGCGCGTAAACTCTCCGAATTCCTTACCTGGCGAGAGGGTGGAGGCGATATAATCCGTTCAACTGGATGGCACGACTTGGGTGGTGGGTTCAAGGAACAAACAACGAGCTATGCTCCGCAGGTACTCTGAACCCAAAGTCACCCATCCAAACCACTTGGAATAAATTTATAGAAAACTAAGCACTAAGTATTAATCTGATCGCAATCACATGGAACGGCAAGCAATTAAACCCAAGACGGCGTAGTACGGTATCATGCAATGTGTTATCGCATCACTGCCTGATTATGTAAGCTCTCACATTAATAAGAGACAGTATTCTCCCATTGAAACCCAGCTCGACTAGGCTAAACACGCATGTAATGTATATTTGAAAAACGCCGCAATATGTATAACTTTACGTGGTCATATCATTCAATCTCCTTTCATAAAAGCAATCCCGCTAATCGGCATATCCGTCCGAAGGCCAACTATAGATTAAGCAGCGAGAGATCGCACCATCAGATATAACATAGTCAACAAATGACCCATCAGTGTTGCTCCAACACACACAAATGACACTGGCAGCCAATGCAGCCGCCATCAGGTAACCAATCACACGGGCCTGTCTTTGAAACTGAACCGATCATTGTCGGCAGCGGGCCTGCTTGGCACGGCATGCCAATATCACATGTCTGTCCTTACACCTCATGCGTTTTTCTCCTGGGCGTTGCCAGGCAACCGTTAGACGGTGCCTGTCTTTGGCTGCATCACTCATTGTGAACGAAGAATTCGCTGGGTGCAGGAACGATGCACGTGATGGAGGTGTTGTCGTCGGTGTTTGCCGGCGACAGTGAGCAGATTTGAATAGAAATGAGCCGCCGATGCCAGCGCTAGTGCGTTTCAGCGGTCGGCAGGTCTGTCTGATTTTTGTGAACCTTCGTTAATTAGAGAACGTTCAGCGCAGGTCGGATTCACCAAAAGTACGTTAAACGAGGTGGAAAAAAGCTACAAGAAAATCGCATTGCGCGGCTTTGAGTTGTAGAAATTCCGGAATTTGAGAGATGAGAAGATTTTCAGAATAGGCCTACTCAGGAGGAGACCCGTTTTGGGCAGAATGCTCGGATGCCGTCACGCTGGGAACATCAGGAGTTCCCACGAACAAAAGTCTTACGTGAAACGGTGAATGTTCAACTTGTAACCGACGTTCTATCTTGCTATCAAATTCTAAATAAATGCTTTCCTTCTTTCCTTCAGAAATGTATGTGTCAGACGGATTGTGTCGTGTGTCAGATGTGTGGCATGTGTGGATGTGTGGATGTGTGTCATGTGTGTCATATGTCAGATGTCAGAAATGTGTCAGAAATGTATGATCAGACTGATTCACGGATTTAAGTTTCAAGACAGGGTCTAACCGAGCCCCTGAAGTGTAAAACATAGGATAAGATACCGGATCCCTCCACAGTACCTCTGATTATAGAGCCTTGGCACCCCAAAGTTCGTTGATACGTGCCGCGTGTGGCAAGCGGCACGCCCTCCTGCTCAATACCGGCCCGCATTACCCCCCGGGCGTTCGACGACCGCGCCGCAAATGGGCCGTCGCGGTGCAACTTCGGCGAACCGCGGCGTGGCGGCAGCCAACTCACCGCCGCCGCCTGACCGGGCAGCCGCGCTGCCGCCGGTCAGGTACCCGGCTTCGGCTCGGCCCCGGTTTACGACAGGTGGCCGGCTTAATCTGCCGGAGGGTTACGCCGCCGTAAAGCTCGGACGATCAGCAGGCGCCGCCTGCCGCTGGCCGCCGTCTGATGGGCGGGGTCAGCCGCCATGGCCGGGCTTGCCGGCGCTGGGAGCGCGACGACTTTTCCCATTTCGACGGCGTCGTAACGCGGCGAGAGTGTCTCGGAGCGAGCGAGGCGACGACTCTCTGGGGTCGGGCCGCCTCGCGACCAGCCGACCCGGCCAACACGTCCGGCCGGCGATGGCTGCTGCTGGCGACCCACGCACTGCCTCCAGGAGCTCGTGGGGGCATCGAGAGCAGCTCCGCGAACATGAGCGGCAGGGCTGATGTCAAACTGGCTCTCCGGTGCCGTTGTTATGAGATCGTGAAGAGCAAAGGGCTGCACACGAGATGTACGGCTCAGACTGCACTGATTGGGTTGACCTGACTGTGGGTGTTGTGTGGCCGCAGAGGCTGCGTCTTCGCACTAACGGCTCGTTAGACATAGATCAAAACAGGACAGTGGTGCCAAGACTGTGCAAGCGTTGCGTTCAACCGGCTACCAGTGACATCTGCGTTTGCGCCACGTGTGACACGCACACTGGACCTTACTGAGCATGGTGGGACGGGAAAAGTTTCCGTGCAATACCCCGCAGAGCCAAAGCTCCCCACCCTCCATCTTGCCATTACAACTGCCGTCATAAAGTGGTCTTGCTCTCCAGGCTCTAAACCAGCTCAAGTGGGTTCACGACACCAGTTCCTGAAAACAACCGTGTGTCCCCCTCCCCCCGAACCGCGACTCTCGCCCCTGAAACCCACTTACTCTAAAGCGCTCCCTGCGGGGAGCAAAAATTCAAAAACCGCCGACACTACCTTCAAGCATATCGCCGGCAGGAACACGCAGAACTCGCCCTTTCAGTGCTGCTCGGCGGCAGGCACCCTGATCTATTCTCTTCAAGACCGGCCTCTCAAGAAAAACTCGCTCTCCAAGTACTTCCACGCGACACTGCTAGCGGGAAGCGTCCAGCCCGATCGTACACGCACGCGCGCTCACTCGCTGACGCAATTCGCGACTCCGGAGTCATGACGTCTGTGGAAGCGGCACAATATGCCTGCACCGCCGGCCTGGGCAGCCAGCCCCTTACTCGGGACGGTGCAGCCGCTGACCTTTCAGGCCGGCCTGCCGTGTCTGAGGAACAGCCTGGCCCTGCGGGACTAGACGGTGAGCCGCCGGCACTTGGGAGCAGCAGGCTCTCAGTGTCCTCCTCCCCGTTTCCCGTCCCACGGCTGCTTCCTGTCTTCGGGGGGATGAGCACCACGGCGGGATGGAGGGGGGGGGGGGGGGGGAGAAGCCCGATCTACCTCCCCTATCCCGGCCTCTGACGCCAGGCCGCGGCAGCCCTGGCCTCGGTCGCCGAGCACCGCCTCCTCCAAACACTGCTTCATCGGCCCCGGTGTTGATCCGCGGTACTTTGCATTTGGCGTGGGCGCCGCTGATCATCTAGACTATTGCTATCCGGCCCTATGGGACCTCAGCATCGGCGTTGGCTTATCACCCGGCTGATTCGTAAAATTTCTGGTCTGCCGTTTTTTTGCGCTATTGTTGCTTGGTTTCGCTTGTTTCTTTTTTTGCTGGCTTAAAGGCATAACCTGGTGGAAACTGCGAGAGCTATGCTATTCTCATTCAATTATCTCTGTTGGCACCTTTTGGACACAGCATGTCCTGTCCAATCATAGGACCAATGACATCATACTGATACTGATGATGTTGTATGTTGATATATGCTCAAAATGTGTCATGTATTTGCCATGGCTGGTACATAAATAAGCATCTGACCTGTACCCTGTGACCAGAGATCGTGCCGTAGCACCCACAGCTCGTCTCATTACGGCCAGCTGTAAAGTTCTCGCAGCTGGCTGTAATGTTCCAGCAGCCGGCCGCTCTCGAGATAAGCAGGGGTGGGGGGGGGGGGGGTCCGAATCTGCCCCCTCCGGCCAGTGGCGTGCCGCTGAGCAGCCCAGTCAATGCCGGGATGGACAGGACAGCACAGAGCTCAGGTGGAGAGCCAATTTACGGAAAGTGCAGTTTTCTGAAGTGTCCTCAGTCCAGATGTGCCACGCGCAACTATTTAAATCTATCGCACAGTCAGCATAATTGCTGTCCAGACCACTGCGCATAAGGCACCCAGGCAAGAATCACGTGGAAAATATAAGCTGGAAAGACAGCAGTATTAGCCTTATTCCTCGAAAAATAACGAGAGAATGGAGATATAGTTAGGTTGATATTTCGATAAAGGCATGTTGTCGAAATATGGACCTAACTTTATCTTCATTCTCCTGTTTTTTTCTTCGAGGAATAAGGATAATGCTACTGTCTTATCTATTTGAATAATATTCCTCGCCCACGCACTGAACAACTTACGTAAAACATAAGCTGTCGGAATAAGGTCGAAAAGGATAAGGTTTGCATATATATTGATCATATGGCAAATGGTCATGTGCGATGAAGATCATTTACCATAAGATTGTTTGGGATTATGATCATATGGATAAAGGTGTAATGACAAAAGCACCACACGGATCTTGCAGCGCATTGTCAGCGTGGCGCGGCGTGAAGTCTGGGAGCAAAACTTTATCAAGAATTGCAGTGATGCCAGTCGGACATTTATGCAGAAGTTATCAAAAGATAGACTTCAGTAAACGTGACTTAAAAGCACAGTTAAGTATGGTCCGGTAGAAAAACCGTACTACCAATCCCAGTGCTGCACACAGATTTCAAACCTTAGTCATCCCGGAAAAAACCAGGACTCACTGGATAATGAAGAACGTGCTGTGCGATTTGACGCCGCCCGGAGGACAATGGTCACGAATTCGGCGGGTGACTTTTCATAACAAGACAGCCGTAATGTATGGACGTAGGCTAACAAAAGCTATGACGAGGATAACTGTCAGACTACTGCTTATTGGTGCATAGTTGAATAGAGCGGTGGGGGGGGGGGGGGGGATCGCGCATCTACGACCGAGTATGCGACTAAGTGCTGCTGCTGTCTTTCTGGAGACTTGTAGCTATCTAATTCCACTTAAAGAAGCTGCAGGCACTTTCCTTCCTTTGCTCCAATACATTGTTGTCATATGTTGCAATGCTTTCTTTCGCCATCTAAATGCAGATTAACTGACTAACTTAACTTTGCGGGCTTTTAGTCTGAGGTTTTTATATGATTTCGTTGTGTCCTTTGTCATTTGCAGCACTGTTTGTGCACGGGGTAAACTTTCTCCTCATGATATTTGTTCAGTTTGATGTTTGGCTTACGGCCTTTTGCGTACCATCTTTTCCAAAACATTTAGATACACAATCGTTATCGTAGCAGCCCTTTTCCTTCCGATGCCCATCCCGTATAATCTGTTTATTATGATTTACATCGAGCATGACCATTTGCTCACGATTTTTCCGATGATTCTTCCCGTACAACCACTTGGCTGAGGATCTTTTGACACATACCATATTTTCTTAAGCAACTTTGCGTAACGAGACTTTTGTATACGGCCACTTATCTGATATTTCACCCTACGTTCGCAGTTGGGATCCTGTGCGCGGGGGAGTGCGCTATGGGTTTTTAAGGCAGCTTTGCCCCAAAGCCCAAGCACGCCTTGTGCGTTATTTGAAGGTTTGACTGCGCCCCTGTGTGAGGCGGCTGTATAGAAGCCTGAGCGCTGCCGCCACGCCGTGTGGGACTCCCCACTGGGAGCCATCAAAATGTCCAAGAATGCAGCGTTCCAGCGCTCATATCACCCAAGATCGCAACATCCAGCGTTCATAACATCCAGCGTGCGTCCAACTTCGTGCCCACTGAGGGCTTTTATAGCATCCGAGCGCCCAACATCCATTGGAGGTTTAGACCAATGGACGTTATGAACTCTGGATGTTTCAATACACATACCTCCCGCTCGACAGACCGTGTCCTCGCCTACGTGTCGCTCAGAATACTCACGCGATAGCCTCGATCATGTCGAGGCCCATCTCAATGCAGCAGTGCGCGTGGTCGGGTCTTGGCTCGGGAAGGCCCGACACGCAGTAGTAGCAGTCGCCCAGGAGCTTAATGCGCAGGCAGTTGTGTTCGGCCGCCAGGCGGTCAAACCTGCCGCGTCATCAGAACGTCAGCTGGCGCCTGCTCGGCGCGACCAGACCGCCATCTTGGATAGCTGTCGGGCCGCCACAGTGCGCTGTTAATGGTGAGATCGCTTCCATGCGAATAAAGGAAAAACAAAATGATCAAAAACAGGTTTAAGTGGCTTTTATAAAAGCTGGGATTATGCGCAGGTGTTAGGGCCATAAGCCCCTTCATTTTCTCCAAAGTCAAGTCACATCCGAACGTGGGAGTTTACTTCTCAAGTAAGGTCAGAGGTAAGACTCCTATTAAGGCCGCTGTTACGCGAAGTGATTATGTCTGATGCGCCTTATAGCGGTTAGTACAAATTATAGTAAGCGCCGCTGAGCATACGCTTTGACAAGCCTCGTCACATATGCGTCTATATGCATACGTATATGTATATATATATATATATATATATATATATATATATATATATATGCACATATATGTATATCTACATACATATGTTATATTTTCATATGCTTAGCATATTTCTGCGAACATCTCTTGCCATCAGCGTCCCAAGAGGCACGTTTTAAAAAATGGGAACCGCATTAATAGAGGGGTCTGGCAAACGTGCACGCAGTAGAACAAACGATGCTCAAATGCATGTGCTTTCAGCTATCGCTGTATCAATTATGCATCAGTACATTTCAAGCATAATAAGCAAATAAGCAAGAAAAGCAAATAAGCAAATTTTGTTAAGCCTTATGATCGATGGGTTGTTGCAAACGCTGCGCATTTCGCAACACATGTTTCAGCTAGCCGCTTAGCATCCCGTTGCGGGCGATGGCGGGGAAATCTGGCACGGTGCGGTGCAGGTCTCACCGATTGCTACAAAGCCAACAGGTCCTGGACAGGCTGACTCACCTGGCGAACAGCTCGTTGAGGAGTCGGACCAGCTCCTCCGCCGTGCACTGGTCCGACAACGCCGTAAAGCCGCATATGTCGGCAAATATTATGCTGGAACGACAAAACCAAATGAAAACCATTAAGTGACACGCTCTCTGCTGGAAACAGTAAAAATATGAGAAATTTCAAGGCGAATCAAGCAGTTCACAACAACCTTGTCTCGTTGTTAAAAAAGGAAATTTGTTCCTTGGGTTATGAAAGAAACATAGTCATCCAGTTGAAAACCAAATCCCGTTTTAATAGGCATTCTAGAAGCATAGAATTAAGCGTTTGCATCTTGGACACCAGTGGGTGATTTTTCAATTTTTCAATTTTCAATTCATACCAAAAAGACTAGCCAGAGGCAGTCACCAAAGATAACGCGTGCAGTAAACTGTATTGCTACAAAGAAACGTTACTTGATCGTGTATCAATATAACCTACACTTGGTCAATGGAAAACACTTGCTCACAAGCAACGGCAGTCTAGATCGCTGATGCATAGCTATGGCTGTTTCTAGCCTTAGATACATGTTTGTAGCACGAGCAGAAGTACAAACGCACCTTAGCATATTAACAAAAACGTACATCGAAAAACTATTTCACCCGACTTTTAACTTTGGCATACATGCCGGTGCCCCTGAATAATGAAAGCAATGACCCTGTTCCTTTCCAGTTTGGGCAATGACTTTTCAGGTGTCGAAATGCTTACCGTACAACAGCTTAAATTCGTCACGTGCCGATAGCATTAATAAAACTGGATGCTTTCATGGTAAAACAACTTTACACGTCAAACGATAAGTGTTCATATGTCACGCGTTACGTGCACATGTACGATCAAAGTACGCTTGCTTGTTTTGTTGAGGATTTAGCATTTTGTGCGACATCTCTGCAGCAAGAGCACGTGAAGCTTAGAGTCGTCTGCAATTCGTGTGGCCTACACAACTTTGTGCAGAACACAGCTGCGTTAGGGGTCATCGGGTGAGCCGCCAATGTTGACATTTTAAAGAACACCGCAAAATTCAAAACACTGTTGTCAAACCTGTCGTAAATGGCGCTATGAGATTTAATCTCACCGTCGCCCCGATTCATTTCCTCCATTTTCACTTCTTTGTTTGTCATTGTTTGCTTTATCTCGTTTACAAATCAACTATTGCCATATTCAACAAACGCCGCCGACTTCTAGACGAAAAGCGCCCAGATGCACGCGCGGCATTTTGCCAGCCTGCATCAGTTACTTGGCCTCGGCAACTCAGCTACAATCCAGATTCATTCATTCATGACAAAGGAAGGAAACTTATTTTTTTATAAAACCAGTTGTGCGAATCGTTATATATATATACATACATATATATATATATATATATATATATATATATATATATATATATATATGCGCATGTAGCTATATGAATTATGCATTCGAGTAAGTCGAAGCTTCTTGAACGCATGAACGCATAATAAATCTGCAGCTGGAATGAACGTATGAAATAGCATCTGAAAACTGCACATCGCTAACCTCCATTTAGAAAGTGGATGTGATATCTCGGTTGACTCGATGGCCTGCCCACCGATTCGAGCCCACCCAGGGTGGGGTTGGGTTCAATCGCTTCATGCGCCGTTGTTGGCCTCTGACTAGGATGGTATATGGCCGACGGCAGCACGTGCGCTAAAGGTCAGGTGACGTTAGAGGCAAGACGAATCGTGCCGAGCATTGCGGCACGTTAGGCGTACGCCACAAAATGCTGCCGTTAATCCAGAATTGCACGATCTATTGGCGTGGCCCTGTTGCTCACGCAGCAAGCATTGATTATCTTGGGACATGACCCTATAAAAATTCAATCAAAAGATCAGATCACAAATCAATCAATCAGTCAAATCAAATCACAAGTATAACATTGATTATAGATGTAAGCCCTACGATAGTGATTCGTCTAGCATTCTTTGTCTGTTCGTTTAAAATTGATAAAATCGTTTAGCTCCAGGTTTTCAGCCTGGCCCACTTTGCCGTCGGATAGGATGGCCCAACATCCGTATTCACTTAGCGTTGGCCTCAGGTTCCATCTAGCGTTATCCTATTATTCCATTATTTAAGGATGTTTTTTAGACGAGTAGCGGTGTTCCTACGGCATTTGCCAAGTTGCAACTCTCATATATATATATATATATATATATATATATATATATATATATATATATATATATATCTATCTATCTATCTATATATATATATATATATATATATATAGATATATATATATATATAGCTATTTATAGCTATCTATAAATTTTATGCAAATATACCTCTCATACAGTTATATGAGGGTTCTTTGCTTATCGATAACCATATTCAAGAACATGGTGATGAAAAAGAGGACTGAGTGGTCAGTGTCTCCTATTATCAAAAGTCCCATGATTTAAGCCACATTGCATCACGTAAAATGTGCTTATAGCCAAACTTGACCAACTACCTCGCTGTCAGTTACGCACCTATTGTCCCGAGCACACCACTGGTTAGCTCGGCGATCAAGGGTCGGATCCGCTTCACAATTGTGGAAGTAGTGGATGTGCAAATCCATGTGCAAAAGGACAAACACAAAGTGTCAAACATGAAATGCAGCGGCTCATTTCATGCATTTGAAATGAGCTGCTTTCAGCTATATTCTTCGGCGAAAAATGTACGCGAGCGCATCTCTACGCGTATACTACTCTGCTAGGGTGCGCCTGACTGTACTATTTTGGCCTGCGTTGTCCCGGGATCAAAAGACGGGGCACTGCATACTGACATTCCAACACGATGCACATACCCACGAGTTAATGACACCTATAAAAATCGTGGGTCGAGGCAAAAGTTATGGGGTAATACAAGCCGTGCATATTGTCTGACAGTTGGTTTGGAGCACTGTTATGCCTTCATCTACGCGCATTACCAAGCCAGCACGCAAAGATGTACACTCTCATTTTCCTGGCTGTCCAGGAACTTATAGGATACAGCTGTGAAATAACGATGCTCCCTCCCTTCTCAAGTGATATGTCGATGCTTCAAATGCACGATGTGAAGGTAAAGGCATTTGGTAGATTGATAACTGTGCGTTGGTGCAGCATCACTGAAATTTCATTTGCAATGCTGGTAGACCATGCAAACGATGTCCCGGTTGTTTCTAGTTTGTCCGCGTCCCCAGAAGCGTCCCAGTTCGGGCGCCGAGTCGCCTCCAAAGCCTCGACCGAGAAGACTTCTTGCACCTCTTGCGCGTCGCAGCAAGGTCGATACAACCGCCGCAGCCTGGGGATTGAATCAACCCACCTTCAGCCACGACGGCCTCAGGTCTGGAGCTCTTCGCAAATTGAATCTTTGGGACCCAGTCCAATTGGGTTCGGTTAGGCCAGATTCAATCCGCCTGCCAATCCGCTGTTTCCAATTTTCTAATTCCAGGCCGACCCGGTTCGGGGTGCCGGAAAAATGGGTTGTTTTAGCTCGCATCGATCCGCTTCGACTTCTTTGACCACGGTAACATTAACAGCAAACGTTGTATACATCGGCATATATAACTCTTTTCATTTACTAGCTTATATTAAAAAATTCCCGACCGCCTTTCATCGATGGACAAGTACTAACGTTTTTTGATAACAATACTGCATCCCCTACCTAACACGAAGGGTAAATGCTCCGCTACACTGCTTGAATGCAAGATGCAGCCCGATCCAACTTTTCCGCTCTTAGCCACACCATAAACAAAGATAAAGCTACGGGTCCAGCTAGACGTGCGCACGGCTCCAAACTGATCCTGACTACATATGTTGACAGATGTGCTTTAAGTTGTTTCCGCTTTGCTGTGATCAGCACGCTGAGAGAAGTCTCATAAACGCCTTATCAAATCGTAGTGTTTTAACAGTGTTTTAGTGAGGTAATGTCGCACTTCCCGTGGATGTCATTATGGCTTGACATGTCATCGTGCCCTAACATGCCACTATGTCATAACATGCCGTCATTTCATGACATGTCATTATGCCATCACATACATCATATCATACCATGCCATCACGGCATGTCATGCCATCATGCCATGGCATGTCATCGGGCAATTACATACCATTACCTTTCATGCCAATGTGAGATTTCTCCATATTTACCATCTTCAGGACCTCAGGTACATGGCACCTGGCATCTATACCCTCTAGAATCTCGTCTCTATAGGTCGCCTGCTAAGGCGCCCGGTTATCGCACAAGCTTGGAGATGTACGAGTGGACGGTTTCGGGTGGGACTGATCACTGTCACGTTCGCTGACCTGACTTCATGTATGCAATGTCCTGGATCTTCTAAATCATTACAGGAGCATCATATTTCAGCGGCTGCATTGATGAGTCCAATTTGCATATGTGTTATGCAGATTCCAAGACTATGATGGAACAAAGCTGTGTGACCATAAGCTTTTATTTCTGGGGGATACTCACAGACATCCATATCAAGTAGGTAACGGTAGCATTGTTTTAAATGTTTGTGAAATGTATTCAGTTAAGAGGCATTCTAAATATGGGCCTGATGTTAAAATTATTATAAATTTGGCTGGGAGGTTAGGTAAACAGAAATCATAACAACAGCTTTAGCGACTTGTGGTGTGCTTACTAAGGATAACGCCAAATTTTTCCCATAACCACTCGCACTGTCACCCATGTCCATCAATTCACATCGCAGACAAGACGAAGATAAATGACAGTTGTACAGCAATTAATACAAGCTTATGTATCGTGCATTTTAGTATGTTGGTATCAGGTGCGTAGTTTTCTATTAAGCCAGGAGCTCCAGGTCCCTCCTCCCAAAAGCCTTTGTAAAGAAAGTGAGTCAAATCCAACGAGAAACCCTTTTCTTTGTACTTCCCGTAATCCCATGCTGCCTTGTTGTTTTTTTCCCGCCTTTAGATGTGAGATGGTCAATTAAAAAATCCGGTTCTGTCCTAACTCATTAATTGCTGAAAATTTCTGATTCGATCCAGCGCGATCCTTGGACGAATCGGCGATCCGTTAAGTCAACCAAGCTGTGAAGTGATCTGCTTATGTCTTTGGCGAGCATAGCCAAAGAGGTCATGTTCAGCGACCTTTTTAGAGTGAGCGCCCTTTTTCAGTGAAAGTCACGTCCTAACTGGTTCTATCCCACAGGTACACCTACACACACAAAGCGTGTGTGGTACTTGAAAGTCATGCGGCCCTTCGATGACCGCTGCCTCAACCGAGTCACGATAATGGTCGCCTCTATAAGCTCAAAATATGGTCATGTGCTCCGTGCATGAGAGAAGACTAAGCTATCTCAGTTCGTCATGAAATGAATAGGTGCTCCAAACACTTACCAGTCCAGCAACCTGGGCCATCGTGGCCTGGGGTGTCGAACCAGGGAGAGGCAGGGGCTCAATGGAGGGGTTGAGGGTTTGCCGAAGGATTTTGATGAGTTGTAGGTTTCCACTGAAGAAAAGCATGCATTTCCGTTCAAGAAAAACGTGCGTTTTGCTGCGCGTGAGTCCGGACAAGCTTTATGCCTAGAGACATACCTGACATTGTCGTGGCGCTGAATGTATATCTTGTGAAACATTGTGTCCCTTTGTTGCTCAGCAATGTCTGACTTCATCTCCATGGCAACGTGTCGAGGCAATACGGAGAGAAGCAACCGTTCCTGTCAAACAAACAACGTCGCTGTTATTGGGGCTTGACGACGCGTGCAGCCGCTAAGTCCGTTTCGCGACGGCAGGTCTGGCGCCGATTGCCCTGGGGGCGGGGGGCGGGGGGGGGGGAGGGAGGGGGGCTGTGAAACTCTTGGCTGAGAGCCGTGCCCGATCTGCACACCTGACGGCTACGCTGGTGAGGAACCCGCCCAACGTCTGAGCTATGCCCCCCCCCCCCCCCAATCATGTCACAGTTTACAACAGAGCGACTCTCACTTGAAACAAGAACTAGAAAAGCCGACTCTGTATGCTGACTAAGCATCGTCTGGCACTAACCTGCCATGGGTGACTGGTCAGGTTGGATGAGACGAGGCATTGTGTCATGCATTATTTTACCGAAGCTTATTTGATTGAGCTGTTAGCATTACGCAATGCTTGGGAGTAACTTCACTGAATATTCATGACCTATATAGTGTCATGATATTCACTGCTGTCAACAAATTTCTGCTCGCTCAAACAGGTTGCAAACAACTTGCTACAACAGCTGTCTAGCGCTTGGAAACATTTTTAACGACACACTCGGCTTTGACTCAATTTGTCTCACGTCCGCACTTCCACATTTTCTTCTCATATTCTTCATACTGCACCTGTGCAATCCATCATGACATGCTAAAATGGATCTATTAACCACATAAGTTTGTTACCATCCGCAGTTGGTTACGAACTCAGTTCTTCCACACTAGCGACTTAACTTTCTTACCGTCCAAGTCGCTGAGAACTGCGTTTCATTGGTGTGATGACGTTTGAACTTGACGTAATTTGATGCCGACTTAAATCTGTGTTTGTTTGCGTGCTGTATAACAACTGCACCGCCAGCCGAAACAAGGTCGTTCGCGATGTTCGCGAAGATGTGCTTGGAGGGAATGCTCCGCATTTAAAGATATCGAAGCAAGCATAGATATGATGAAATATGCTCACTTATGATTATTGGTATACTTTAGGTGAAAAAGACTGCTCTAGACAGCACGCATACTTCTAAGTGGAAAAGACTATTTTAGACAACACGATTGCTCTGTTTAAATTGCACAGCATTCATTACAAGTAAATTGACAGCCGTCACATATGGAGATAATGCTTGCGAACGCCAGCAACGACTCGACAGCTATATTTTTGTTGGCCTTGATCGCTGCATGGCTAACGGATTGGCAGGAGTCTAATGACGTTATTATGGCGCCATGGATGACCGGGTGACCTTGACAAAGTCTTCCCAAAATATTTTGAACATCTTCGGTAGCTCAGAAACTAGAATGGTTTGAGTCTAACGAGGGCAAGACTGTGAACTGCACCGAATGATCTTCAAGATGGCTATTTCAGTTCAAAACCCTACACAAATGTGGAACACTCCCTTTAAGCACATGGCCTTGGAATGATCCCTCGGAAGAATGCCCGTGCGATTAGACAGCTTAGAAGACCAGCTGCAGCTGCCCAGATGCAGTTAGACATCTTAACGCTCAGATTGTGGCTTATGCAATGGGTCAAAAACAAACAGCGGTTATTGCGCTGGGTGGAAAACAAAAACAAACACACTTGCTAAGCTCTCGTCAGAAGTGTGACGCCAGGGTGTGATGGTGACGAAGTGTGACGGTGGCGGGGTGTGACGGTGATGTACGATTTGTGAGCTACGGCGTGACCGTCTGGTGATGAGGGAACATTTCTTAAGGGAGCGTGACGCATGTCGTCGAGCACCCTTCACATGAAGCAAGTGTTGCACAATTTTGTGGGGCTTCACATTTATGTCGGGTTTTTTTGGGCGTGTGGGATTTTGAATTAAGATAACCCTTTGAAGATCATTCAGTGCAGTTCACAGACATGCCCTTTTTGGGACTTAAAACCATCTGGTTGCTAAAATTGATGCTCGCGAATTTGTGTGTACTTTTCCGTGCATACTATTTCAAGGTGACCCAGGCATTCATGATGTAATGCAAATGGCACGTAAATACCGTCACCTCGATGACCAAATGCTGATCAAGGCCAAGAATAAATATCATCCTAGGATTATTCGTGTCTGGCGTGCGACGGCAGGATTCGTGGCAGCGGCGGTCACCAGTAGGCCCTCGACCATTTTGACGCGTTGAGTGCAAGTTTCGAACACAAACGTTTTGTGCTGTATCTTACAGAAATTTAAGCAGTAGTATATGTTATGATGGAAGCAAGACTGAGAATTTAATAACTTATAATAAAATAAAAATATAAAAAGTATTTTAATTGAATAGGTGGATGTAAGTAACTGTTAGAAAATCAAGGACAATTATGCAAGAGCACCGCGAAAGCAAACAGAACGCGCGCACATAAAAAATATTACGGTTTTACATCTACGCATCAACACGCAAGTCACCTTTCGGCAGGTTTAAGTATTACAAGTGAGTGAGCCCGTTCGCTACAGCGGCATGGACACGGCTATCTGATGCTGATATCTGATCGTGATTCTGACACCATGCGATCGTTCTAAAACGTAATCAAGCGGTGACGTGTTGAGTCGCTTGTTAAATAACTGGTAAAAATTTGTTAAATTTTCATCTAAAGCAGTCATGAGATCATGAGATCATGTTGGTGTATCTCACGGCCCTGAAGTTTATCGCTGGGATGGCGAAGACCCTGGGCTGAAGAAGACCCTCGATTTGCTGTTCACCAGCGACGTGACGATCGGAACCGCCTGTTCGCGGACCATGCAGTTCTCATCCTACACCATATCCAGCAGAAGCTTTTCCGGACGGACCCAGCACCCGTTACGCTGGAGGACTGCCTGCACCGTGGCCTATGAGCGCTGCGGCAGCCCGCGGAGCAGCGCGATGCCCCGGCACAAGCTGCGTAAGCCAAAGTCGCATCTGCTGTTCTGCCGGATGGCGGACTATACCGGCACATAGTGGCCGACCACGCACTGGACGAGGCCCTTGAGAGCGCTGCTGGTGGTTTTGATAGAGATGTAAACTAGGAGCATGCGAGCGGCCAGTGTCAACCATTAAAAAGCAAAAGCGAATATGTAGAAATATTTGTTACGAACTGAGCATTATATCGTACAAAAATTATTGCGCCTCTTAAGTGCATGTAGTTATGCCGATACCCAGAGTCCTTAAATGTGACGGAATGGATATCAACGAATACACAAGTAAACATGAACCAGCGAGCAAATAATGCGAAATACTATTACACAATGTATGATGATAAGTGAATGCTAAACGGTAAGAACACTGGGCTGCCACGTTTCGGACAGAGCCGTTTTGAGCGCCGGAGGCTAGAAAGTAGAGCAACTGCTAGCTGGTGCCCAGCTGCTGAATCAGGTCGACCGGCAGGTTTGGCATGTGCCCGGTATAGGCTTGAATGCCACAACGTCCCTCTCCCAGACCTCTCCGGTGCAAGTCTTGCCGATGGGTAAAAACAAATGTGATCCCGTTGTCGTGCCGTCCAAGCTCAGCAGCAGATGGAGGCGGTCCAGCCCGTTGCCGCGCAGCTGGCAGATGAACCAGTGTACGGGTGACTCGGTGGCCAGCTCAAACAGCCGGAACGCGTCGCCTATCGTCTCGGCGTTGACGGCCGTGCCATCGCAGCCGCGCACATCGATGTGACCGTCGCACTGCGAGCTCACGGAGTGTGGATCGCCGAGCAAGTGCAGGGCGCGGACGAACTCGGACGTAACATGAGTCACGTAGTGGCTGCCTGGTTCAGCACTGACAACCACGTTTTTTCCGATTCGCTTGGCTACGTGTGACTCATGAAGCTCCTGCTTTCGCGACCGCCGGAAAAGAGGATGGTCAAACTTGACTCGTGGATTGCTCCAGCATTTTGACGGGCCGTCCCCTTTCTCGCTATGTCTCTTGCGCAGCACATTTTCTTAGGATCTGTGATATTTGATTTCAAATAGCCAGTCCGTCTCTGCTGTCTTGTTGGAAGGCATTGATGACAGCAGCAGCGGCCCAGTTAGAGCCACCGCAGCTGTGAACCGCCTGCGCGGTGCTAGTCAGATCGTTAACGTTATAATCTACAACGACAGTGGTTTCAACAGAAACGAACAATCGGCGTTGTCGTCACCTTCTACCATGTACGGAACCGTGTAGTAATCCGTGCTCTCGGCTAAGCCACCAGCGCTGAGACCACTTGGTTCCGGAGCAGGCTCGAATTCAGCATCAGCAGCCAGCGCTGGCTCAGCAGGCGGCGCGGGCTCAGCAGCCGGCGGGGAAGGCTACTCAGGCTCAGCAGCAGACACAGCCTCACTGGCGGCCGAGCCATGACGCCCCAGCGGTTGTCTGGCCATCCTCCGCACCTCGCGAGCCTCCTCAGTCACAGTCGTATCCCGGTCATATGACCCCAGGGTAAGCTTCCGGTGCCTGCACTGGTCGTTCAAGGCAACCTCTTCTTGATACACTGTGCAGACAACTGGGCATGGAAAGCTGCGCTGAGGCTTGCACTTGAATTTCGCGACATCGAGAAGCTTGTTGAATTTAGCGCTGACGGCGTTGCTGAGTTACTTTTTTTCTTTCATTTCTTGCTGATAGCTCTGTTGAGATGATATCAATTCCTCTCGATCAATTTTGTCACGTATTTTAGATAATGAACAGGGATAGCTACATTGCTCCACAGTTTGCTGATTTCTCCCGGCGCGGTTTTGAGGATAGCATTAGTGAGATTCCTCTTCGATTCGCTCAGCAACCTGATGTAGCTCAAGGCTTTCCTGTAGTCGGCAGTTCGTGGTGGGACAGTGGAGCCGGGTGGCCTACCACAAAAAAATTGTGTGCGCGACCGTGTGGCCTTTGGCATGCTTATGCAGATAATCGATCGAAGGAAAGGTTTTAGTACCGGAAACACTAAACTAACAAACCCATAGCGCCCACACAACAAACATATAAATTGCAAATTAACATCACTATGATGCATTAACAATCGCAAGCTTAAAACCTACCCCGGCGTACTGGAGCATTCTCATAACTGCACAGCTTTGGGTTTTACCAAAAAATAATGTTCTTTAATAAAAAGTCCGCTTAAAATGTGTTTGGCAGTGTCTTGCTGGCGCTCTTCATCATATATATTTCATACATAATCCACCAGGTACCAGTAGTTTGGGAAGTGGGGAGTTTGAAACTTGTTGGAGGATGATACCAGTGCGTAAAATAGTTGGCGCTAGTACCGAACACGAAGTTCTTGGCGTATCAAGGAAAAACTGCCTTCGCGTCACGAATATCAACAGTGGTGCGGTGCTAAAAACCTGAAGGTTTATCATTAATCCGTGTGCCAAAGAAAAGCTTTGTCTCAGTTGATTCCAAGAAATTCACGCCCTCGATGACACACCTTAATGCCAAGAACACCTTGTTTTTTCACGTGTCCGAGTTCTGCAGTTTGTTCACTTGCACCGCAGCTGGGTCTGGTCGAGCGTAGACCCTCTCGTTACGTTTCACAATTTATGAAAATATTTACGCCAATTATGCATTTTCTGAACAAGGCCTTCGATCCTTATCCTTAACTGCTAGATTTCGTGTCGATAAATAATGTTGCCAACCGGTCACCACCACGTTGACGACAGCGCACGCGGTGCTGCAGAGAGACGACGAACTGCTGGTCTGCTCACCTGCTGCTGGTTTTCCCGCTGGGGCAAACTGCTGGCCTACTCACCTGTTGCTGGTTCTCCCGCTGGGTAACCAGCCGAGCCTCGATACACTGCCGGGTCTCCAGGAACGCCTTTCTTTTCGCCAGCTCGCTGGGATAATGCGTAAAAACGCCAGCCATATTTACACACAGGAACAGCAGACCGTTGCAGGCAATCTGAAATAAACGAGATCATGTTTATGAGGCCTTCTATGTACGTTGCAACACGGTAGTTACATATAGGCGGCGTCTCTTTCCAAGATGGCAAAAAAGAGTGTTCTAACTTGATAGTACTGGTAGCCTTACTGCTCGTAGAATAAACTGGAGAATGGAAAGATATATGATATATTTCGGCTACACGGCTTTATCGAAACGAATATCAGCATTACATTTAAAAAGTCTGAAAAATCGAGTAGCATCGGCAAGCCGCTTTGAATCGACTACTGATATTCGTTTCAATACTGGAATGTAACTTAAATATCACACCTATCTCTCCGTTCTCCTGTTTCTTCTGCGAGGAATACGGATATTAAAGCTGTCTAGATCTTTAGCTGTACAATGTTCCTCGTAAATGCACTTAACAACTAACTGCGCTAACAACTAACTGTGCTAACTGTGCGCTCGAGCTTTCAGCAGGCTTATTTCAACGCACACCGTGCGCCGCCGCGTGACATTTCGATCACCCAAGCCTCTGTGTGTCGGTGCAAGATGAAGAACATTGCTTTCAAAGCACGCCAGAACTCGAGCAGAATCAGTCAGGCGAACGTGGACACCGCGCCTGGACGAGCGCGCTGGCATGACTTGTGAGTACATGTATCGGTGAACGGGGCTGGGGGAGGAGCGAGCAGCTGCCGCCACAGGTGTGCGGGCCGGCCGGCACGGGCAGCCGCGGCCCGCTTCCAACGTTCGTCGCCGACCGCCAGCAGCCCGCACCGCGCGTCAACCATCACTGGCGCACGGCAAGGTCGGTGTATGGATGAGCGGCACGCCATTAGTGGCTCGGCCTACAACACTACAAAAGGCATATTCAGTCGAGAGCTTCACGGGTTGCATCAATCCGTGGATTGTGGATCCACCCGAGCGCCGTATTTAACCGGATCAGAAATTTACATCAAAATATAGATATAGACCTCGCCGGGTTTTCAAATTTTCCAGCTCACACAGACAGAACGGATAGAAAACAAACCAAACCAAACTTTACACTACAAAATCCTGAAATGCTTAATGAAGATATCAACTCAGAAAAGAATAGCTAAACAATCAAATTCCAAGCGATGCGCAAACAAGGTACGTCCCACATAACTCCGTCATATATTCTACGGATAAATTTTCTAAGAAACAGGCCACATCGAAAAATTGTTATGAAGGAGTGACACTGATATATGCTCGTATGAAAATTTAGAGCTCTTTCCTCTCAAGATAACTATAATGTCTAATAATCTAATTACCTATATTATTATACCACAGCAACAATTCTGCGTGATCTTGACAGCAATCCCATTTAACCCGACTGAGTGACATCGCATTTTAGAGATGAAAAACTGGGCAGGAGCATGGTCTGTTGGTAGAAATCACCCTACATTGTTTTCAAATCTTAACACCCGCCGAACAAAATAGAAATAAGATTAGTTCCATCGCAGCACTATAGTTTCTATTTACCTAGTAAGTCAGCCTGGTAGTTTCTACTTACCTAGTAAGTCTAATTGATCAATTCAACACCAGCTTCAAATTAAGTATGCTCCTTTAAATCAATTTCCAGGTGTCCGTGAGGACAAACATTGTTGCATCCTGACAGATTATTTATTTACCCACTCCCCTCCCCAATAAACGCATCTCAGAGAATAACCATATGGTCCTATACAACCAGGGACCAGAGCAACTTTTTCACTGATCATTTAGCTGTTTGATGTGAGTTAGGCACTCTTCGCATCTAGCAAAAAAACCTAAGCATGTGTTGAGTACTCATTGATACGTGTCCCATCTCTTCTACTCCCACTTGCATAACCCATGCTCAACTTGGACGTCAACAATACATCTGCATGCCTGTGAATCACCTGTAATCATGCAGAAGGTCCAAGACTTTACACAGGAAGCCAGAAAATTGATGCGGGTGAATGTGGCACCCAGTGCCGTCCATTCATGCCTCAAATAAATATTTGGTAAAATTTGGAGTGGCTTGTGGGCTCGCCCGAGCCCATGGCAGGTGGCTAGTGCGTACAAGAGATGTTAAAGCGCCAGCAGTCACGAAAAATATCGGATGATGGGCGACATGCACCAAACTTTCGCGCCACGTTCGTAAATACCGGGGGATTCTTAAAACGCCTCACCATTTGATGAAGTATCTATGGTACCTCTCATAGCGTGCTGAAAACAACACATCGAAGACAAAATGGGGTACTGCTGTCAAGCTGCATGGCACAATTTATTGTTGCCTGCGTAAACGTTTCTTCCTGTAGCTGTGCAACGCATGATTACAACTGAAAATAGGTTTCGATTTTTTCACCTTCAGCAAAAAAAATCTGGTCGTATCTCACTTTGTAGAATTGGGTTCAGAAATGGTACCACTGCCTCATAAGCCTGGATGAAGCAGCACGCGCCACAGGCACCTACCAGTGGGCAGGGCGTGTGAATTATTATTTTGACGCAGCCGATTATCTAGCAGAAAATAATGGTCGCACTTGAGGTTTTTCATCATCTATGTCGGAGAACGAATATACACCCGACGTATCATCTTTGGGATGAAATGACGCTTTAGCCACACAGAAGACATGATAAATGAGTGCCGTCCTGCATTTATGAGCTAGGAGCCGTTGACATTGTCGAGTGGTATTGCAGGTACGTTGCACCGAACCTGGAGTCTGAAAATGAAGGTGCATGTCCTCATGTCTTTAGGTTATTGGGGCCGGGAGCGATTTTACCACGTGCGATGAGGTGGCTCTTGTGGATTATCGGCCAAAATAATTGTGACATGATAAATGATGCATCGAGCCTTGTTTGTTCTGATCTTCATGCAAAATTGCATGCCCAACAGGTATCAAGCTAGGTTAAGCATTTTAGCACCTCACTGAGTCATGTCAAGTTTCTGAACATTTTCTCCCATGGACACTAGCCTCTAAATCAATAAGCATACTCAGATAAATTCAAGTTGCTCTTAAAATTGTAAGAAGGTCCTAATGTGCAACGGGATGGAAAGCATTCATGTCATAAATTTGCTCGGCTAAGTCGAACCGGATCAGATTTGATAGAGAAATCTGGGAAAAAGCGGATTGGCGAGGCATTGGATCTGGACTAGCCGGACTGGACCGGACCTGATCCTGAGAGCTCAATCCGTGAAGTGCTTTAATACTCCGCCCGATAAAGGCGGACTGATCGGATACCACCGTGTCCAGTTACCACCGTAGACCTTGCGTAGCGCTTCGCCAGTAAAGGCAGCGTAATAACCTCCCAAACGAAGACACATTAAATGCTCTGAGCGAGTGTTTCACCAGCTGCCTCATCTGGCCTCATCTGACCTTAAGCGGCTGTTGCCACCGACCGTAGGTCATCCCACTCAGGGGCAAAAAGCGAGCGCCAAGGCGACTAAAACCCACCCGTCTCCCACGGATAGACAAGGGGCCAGGCACTCTATGCGATTAAGCTGCGGGGGCGGGCGTCGGTTCGCGATCTACTTCAAATAATGTTCTTTACAGCTGATGGCGACCTCGCAATCGATTAAAAGCACTTCGGGAAAATGAATTTCGCTGGACCTCGTATTAGACAAGCATTTTTGGTGTGTGGTTTCCGTTCAATCTCAAGCATGCATCGCTAGGCTGCAGTCGTGGAGGGACGTCGGCAGCAATGATTGCAGTATTGTTGAGTTAAAAACACTTCGGTTCGTCGCGGTCGTAATGTTTTCCCTCATTTCAATGGTCAGCTAGGATTTCACAGTCGCTTGGAAAATAATAGGTAGGATTCCCCTGGGATTACTTTATTTTCATATGTCGGGTCATGCTACGTAATTGGTGCGCTGCTTCTGTTCGCGTGTTGCCGGCAACGGGTTTGTATGCTATTCCAACGAACAATATTACACACAGTCGTTGTGGGCTATGGGGAGTCGATTTGTACGCACTAAAATGTCCTTGCAGCAGCTCGTCCGTCTCGATAGCTGGGGTAGTAAACGCGCCTGGTCTCCGATTTAGCCATCCGTGTTAAGATAGGTCGAATCGCCTTGAGCGCCCGGTATTTCCCCTGACCGAGATAGCAGGAGATCAGTGCTGGCGGCCTTGTATAAGGGCCAGGCGTCGTCAGAAGGCATGACTGACCGTGCTGAGCATGATGACAGTTGAGGCTTTCCCCGCGAAATTGCGTCGTTGACCAGGGCTCTCAACGTCGGATGGTGCAATAAGACTCACGCAGCAAACATTGCTTAGCATTGACGCGGATTCCAGAAATCCATGTAATCAAAATTGCCGGACTCCTTTTCATGTTTGTCAGACTCTCATTCTGTGATGCGGAACTTGTTATATCATTCTGTGATGCACAAACAAGCTCTAGTTTGTGGATCAGGTATTGTTTCTCTGGTACCTGATCTGTGCGACTTGACGGCCGTAAATGTTAATGTCTGTTGCTCAACATGCCATGCCAGATATTGGGTGGTATAAAAATTCTGAAGGCTTACGGAACTTTGCTCCATCTTGATCGTATTATCGCATGGTTACGTTGCGGTTGTATTCATAATGTGATGCCCAGGTGCTTTATATCTGGCAGATGACTGGGCTTTGGTCCTGCATGCTTATATAAGTCCTCTTTACATAAATATAATGTTGCAAGATGGAAACAAAACTGAATCTCAAATGAAAATGACCAATATGCCGAAAGGAGTTGCTTTTAGACCAAAATTCAGGTAAGTAAAAAACAACTGGAAAACCCAGCTAGCTTGGCATAATTTTGATTCAAAGCATGCTTTTTAACTTACTTCAGTAGCTTTAGCAGCCTATTGATTAATTTCTCCAAGACACGGTTCGTTTCAAGTAAATGTTTCACATTAGAATATATTGAGGCAATCATCAGATGTGATGAAATAAGCTCACTGGTAACTAGCGGTCTGTGTTTTAAAGAAAGTGCTTAACTTTGTTTTTAAGTAAAATAATCATCTTGAAGATCAGTAGGTGTAATTCAGAGCCCTATCCTTCTTAAGATTTAAAACCTTTTTGTTTCTGAGTTCTCCGCCCGCAAAGATGTGCAGAATATTTCGTGCAGACCATGTCAAGGCCACCCAGGTATTCGTGACGCCATAATAACGTTATTCAAATCCTGCCAGTTCACTGACCTTGCAGCGTTCGAGGTCAATAAAAATATACTTGTCCAGCCGTTCATAGTTGGAGTGCGGGAGCACAATTTACCGATATAACGGCCCCCAACTGGCTCTCAATCAATGTTGTGCTAGCTGTGCAAGATTCTAACTCGACGCATGTGTTGTGCTACAAAATACAAGACTTATGCACTCTTCCTAAATATTACGGAACTAAGCCTTGTAATGGTATACCTTCAGGGAAGCGCTTTAATCGAGTGTGTGAATACAAGTAAGCACCTTAAACACACAGATAAATATGTAAGAACACCACAAGAATGGGTCAAAAGACGAGCACCTACCGATATTAGTTTTAGCACACATCCAGCACCGCAGCTGGTTAGAAACTGAAGAACTAAGATGGAGTGCTGTCATACAGATGCTGCATGACGTAATGAAGCAATGACGCACTGAGGAACGTATTTACGTGATGGAGAAACTACATTGCCCAGAGCAGTCTTTCCACTTAAAAGTGTACTGCCACAAGCTAGCTTACTTCATCACATATTTAGCTTGCTTAAACATCTTCATATATGGCATTTCCGTTAAGTCCAAAATACCTCTCTAGATACGAAATTTCAATTTAAGTAAACACGCTCTTCAATACGTCATGGTTTGCTTGCGTCTTGGAAAATACTATGACGTCAGAGTGGCTGCCAAACTGGCCGTGGGAAATTATCACCGTAGCGAACGGGCTGACTCACTTCTAGTACTTCAACTTGTCAGGAGGTGCCATGCTAATCGGTGCGTTGTTCGCAGAACCCAAACAGTGTCACGTGCGCGTGTTTTGACCCTCCCTCGTGGTATTTCTTCATATCTGTCCGTGATTTGATTTTGGTTCCTTCCATTGACATGCTCGGCTACGGCGCCGTTTTTAAGGCATTCCATTTGCAAGCTTATTTCCGTCGACTCGTAACACTGTCCAACCTCCTGTACAATATAGCATAAAATGTGGGCTATATCTGAAACTTGCACCGAGCGCATTGGTTTCGTCGAGAAGCCAATTGCAGTCATTTGGTGCCGGAAAGCGTGTTTAAGTTCTAAAAGGACAGAGCTGTGAACTGCACTGAATGAACTGCAAAATGGCTATCTCACTTGAAGACCACACACAAGTGTGGAGCACTCCAGTTAATAGACACATTTCGTTCAGGACCAAGCTGTCCTGGCAAAGCCAGACAAGCTGCTATATTCCCCATTCACTGGCTCTCCGGAGCATGGGGCGACATAGGCTGTTAACGTGCATACGTCACGTCTTTTCATGTACCTTCGTAGTTCCCGGAGTCGGTGTTGTATGAGGGACTGGGTGAGCGAGCTTCTGTCGTTACATTCACACACGAGGAGCACGCAAGAAGCAATTTTCCATCGTCCAAAAATCAAGTTTGTTATCTTTTACACCTAAGGCCGACCAAATATGCTGGTGAAGAGTCGCATTAATAAAATCTCAACAAGAAAGGCCCTGGAATGCGTGGCTTTGGGAGTCACGACTGGCGGCAGGCGGTTCCAGGAATACGCCTTATGATAAGGCCCGGCGAGCCAAGCACAGTCAGAAAAGGGATAGTCGATCGGGTACTCAGGGCCAGCCAAAAACAACTCCGATTTCAAACTATACCCCCTCCCCACCTATGAATATGTTGAGACCTTCAACCTATGCTATCCCGGGAGTAGTATATCCGAGTTCTTAAAAAAAAAATAGTTCAAACCTGCTTGATCTATATTGATATCAAGCTCTTCATCAATTCACCCCAACAAGTTCCTTGTTGGAGCCCATGTTTCCCTCCCATCTTTCACTGCCTCTGAATCTGGGACGTGGGCGCTGCCTGCTATCTCAGCCGAGCGCAAAAGGTGAATTTCACGGCCTTGCATCTCGTGGGCGCGGGGCCAGGATCGTCTCCACAAGTCTTTCGCCCGGTTGGCGCGGCATGAGTGACCTTATGTCACGCCGTGGCCACGATGGCGCCTCCAGGGTCCGGAATGACTCCCGCATCACGGTGGCGGTTCGGTCGCTGCTCGCCTCTTGCACCGCTGCTAGGACGTCGCAAGACCGGTGGTGGCTGACGCTTTGGGGCTGCCCGCTCTCCAGCTTTGACGACCGGAAAAGCGGTGCAAAAGACTTTAGATTGGCACTCAGGGCGTTGTCGTACTGTTCGGCCACGTCCTGGAACTGCCTGCCATCGGCCGTTGTGGCTTTCTGGAGCCGTGCTGTGTTCATGTCTTGAGTTTGCCAGTGTGAAAGCGGTTGGTGTTTACTTTTGTGTGTTCTTTTTACGCTGTCGGCGTCGCAGCCTCGTTTTTATCGCATATTATGAAGCTTATTGACTCGAATCAGGCGTCTGGCTAAAGATATTGAACGATCCGTAATGAATACGTGGTGATAGTGGCAGGCAGTGAATAGCTTTGCAAGCTGCCATTACACGATGTGATTTGAAAAGTCGCTGACAAATGGTAGCAGAATCTGCAAAAAATCCTGGGGAGGGTCTGCAAATAGTCGCTCGTCTGAGCCGTGAGGCAGGTCTGTGTTAGTCACGATGCGTTTTTATCCAAATGAGACAATGGACATTAGCAAAAACCATATCAATAACAGCCCCGCGTCTCCAGACAGCGGTTCCGCGGGCTAAGGGTGGCTGGTGCTCCCAGTGGCGGTGGTTCTGCGTTAGGGTCAGCAGCGTTCTCCAGCTGGCGGTGGTTCTGTGTTAGGGCTAGCGGCGTTCTTTCACCGGCAGTGATTCTGTGTTAGGGTTAGCGGCGTTCTTTCACCGACAGTGGTTCTGTGTTAGGGTTAGCGGCGTTCTCCAGCTGGCGGTGGTGTCGTGTTAGGGCTGGCGGCGTTCTTCCACCGGCAGTGGTTCTGTGTTGGGGTTGGCGGCGTTCTTTCACCGGCAGTGGTTCTGTGTTAGGGTTGGCGGCGTTCTTTCACCGGCAGTGGTTCTGTGTTAGGGATGGCGGCGTTCTTTCACCGACAGTGGTTCTGTGTTAGGGTTGGCGGCGTTCTTTCACCGGCAGTGGTTCTGTGTTAGGGTTAGCGGCGTTCTCCAGCTGGCGGTGGTTCTGTGTTAGGGTTGGCGGCGTTTTTCCACCGGCAGTGCTTCTGTGTTGGGTGGCTAGCGTTCTTCCACCGGCAGCGGTTCTGAGTTAGGGTGGCTAGCGTTCTCCTACTGGTAGTGTGTCTGTGTTAGAGTGGTCGGTGTTCTACCGCCGGCGGTGGTTCTGTGTTCGTGCATCGCATGATGGGACAAGCAGTTAACCAGCGTTGCGTGACACCGTGACGCCACAGCTGTGATGATGCTATGTCAATCCTGTTCACCTTGAATAATTCTGAACACGGCGGTGTTCTCGACGTTGCCATTTTACAGCGGAGTGCAGGTGGCGCAGGAGCGTCACGGTAGTGCTCCCAGCCGTCACGTCACGATGGGTTTGTGGTGTCATGGGTGCACCAGAACACCATGGCATCAACTGGCGGGCAGCAGTTCCGTTCAAAGAGGCCTTCCACACTCAGGAACTAGTGGTCTTCCCGTCATGACACGCTGCCGACTCCATTTAACTATTAGGCAAGGGACTCCCTCAGGGTGAATGTCGGAAGACTTCATCCTGGAAGCCTAGCCCGGAAGACCAACGCTCGGAAGACCTCCTGTTGCGCACACCTACGCTCGGAAGACCAACACTCGGAAGACCGCCTGCTGTGCGCACCTACGCTCGCAAGACTACGCTCGGAAGACCAACGCTCAGAAGACCACCTGTTGCGCACACCTACGCTCGCAAGCCTACGCTCGGAAGACCAACGCTTGGAAATCCTCCTGCTGTAGACGCCTACGCTTTGTAAAACTATTCCCGGTTACCTACGCTCAGAAGATCCACTCAGAACCACCGCTCGGAATACTTGCTCCCGGAATATATGCGATCGAAAGACATACATTCGAAAAAAACAACTGCTGCGAGTATGCGCTCGGAAGACTTACGCCTGGAAAACGTAATCCCAGGGGAGCGTGGCTGTGAAGTAAAACAAGAATAAATCCGGTCTCGTAAGATTTATCTCAATCGGAGAACAGTTCAAAACAAGCGCAAAGAAGCTTGCGAGATGAAAATGCGATTTCGCTGCCCGAGCCTGCCAAGACCGTGGAAGCCGTAGTCTCCAGATACCCAAACTGGCGGTGCACCGCCTTCCTCAAAAGGTGGACGTGAGGCAAATTGCAATGCACCGAATGCTTCCCTGCTCAGAACACATTACATTGGGGAAAGAGTTGCGTGTTTTCCTGCTCAGTGGCGGTAGTCATGTGGCTTCCTCGGGCAAGCGTGCTCGGCGGTGGCAGCACGGCAAGGTGGTCCACCCCGTCCAGTGTACTCACCAGCGGCAGCGCGGCGCGGCAGGGTAGCCCACCCCGTCCAAGGTGTTCACCAGCGGCAGCGCGACAGGTGGCCTACCCCGCCCAGTGTGCTCACCGCGCCCAGTGCGCTCACCAGCGGCAGTGCAGCAGGGTGGCCCACCCCGTCCAGCGTACTCACCAGCGGCAGCGCGGCAGGGTGGTCGCGGCTGAGGTAGCCGGCCAGGCTGAGATGCAGCAGCGCCAGCAGCAGGCCGCTGGCCAGCGCCTCACGCAGCCGCAGCGGCAGCAGCGCGTACACCATGTACACGCAGAAGAGCGTCTGCCAGACGCCGTCTGTGGGCGAGCCCGTCTCTGACGTGGCCACCACACTGGCCACCAGCGCGAAGAAGGAGACGGCGATCAGGCAGCTGAAGACGAGCAGCAGCAGGGTGCGTAGCAGGCGCGCGCGTGCCAGCGTCACGGCCAGCGACACGTACAGCACCAGCAGCGTAGCCAGCACCGCCAGCAGGACGCGCACGCCGGCCGTGTCGCGCATGATGTACTCTAGCAGGCCCAGCGAGACCAGCACGATCATCAGGATGCCCAGCAACGAGGTGAGCGACGACTGGTCCATGCGCAGAAAGTAGCGCTGGTACAGCGACTCCACCTGCACGTCTGTGAACCGGTGCGAGCGGAAGAGGCGCAGACAGGGCGAGTATAGAGGGCGCCGGGCACGCTGCGACGCGGGCGGCGGCGGGGCGAGCTCCAGCCGCGCGGCCGCCTCCTCCTGCCGAGAGCGCACGGAGCCGCTGTGCAGGCCCGACTTGCTGTAGTGCTCAATCACCTCCCAGTTGGACTTGCGGCCGGGCTCGGCGGCGCCACGCTCGGCCGCCGTGGACTCGGCGCCGCTCTTGGAGGAGCGCACGCCCATCGTTTTGTGCTGCCGACAAAGGGAGGGCGCCTTAGAGCGGGACTCGGGGACTCCGGGGTGGCGGGAGCATGAGAAGCGACCCTCAGCATCATGGCAATGTCCGTCCTGAACGGCGGCGTCCCTATGATGATGTACGTGCACTGTTTACGCCTAGTCATCTAACCCCACCCCACATCACACACACACACACACTGAAGTCACCGAGCCACGGCACGGGAAAGTTTGAGAAAAGCGGTGCTGGTCCTGGTTTTGTGGGTCTAACCACGTGACGCACGTGTTCTGGGGACCGGGGGTGCCGCGACTCGGCTCCTCTCATTATGGAAGCTTCTCCTTCCAGTTAGATTGGGTCGAAGTCGTTCACGATGGTGAGGAGTAAGTGTAAGGGTACTCCTGGTTGTGATGTAGAACGACAAAGCGGAAGTCTTATTAAATAAAACACTGAAGGGGCTTGCCCCAAAGTGTTTTTGAGTTCAATATAGCCCAGGTATCGATATCTTCTGCTGATTCATATGTCATTTCAGCTTCTGTTATAATAATTCAGCCAAGTTTGTCCGTGACACGGGCTTAGTACGGAACCGGTACAGCGTGGTGGTACACTCATGACAATGTTTTAGTTAACAGCATTGCGTCCGGGGAGAGTCAGGGAGGCGTCACATTTCAGGCGCCCGGAAATTACCGCGACTGAAAAACTGCTTTCTGGAGTCAGCATTGCTTGCTAGGAAGAGAAGATAATTGCGGTGGTGAGCCTGTTTCTGAAAACAGCGGGTTTACCAGGCGAGGCAAAAATGGAGCAAGGTGATTTGCGCTATGTATGGACAAGTGGGTTCTCAGGTAACGTGCAACGCACCATTCGATTCTTTGCAAGTTTGCACTACCTCCGTCACTGCAAGAGATCTTCATTTTAGGGTGCCACGTCAGGACTGCTGCCACAAAACTTCCAACGACAAAACTGCTTCGACACGATCTCTACACGACATAACTTTTACGATTAAAACTGCCACGGACAACACTCCTACGCGACACAAATTCCAAGGACAAAACTTCTCCGCGACATTGCTTCTGCGTTGCCACGACATCGCTATTGTAGACATGCATTTCGACGCTTTTCATTTTTCACACCGCCCTTCCGGGATCGGTGGAGCTTCCCGATGGGTCGTGGGACAGCAAGCAAGCCGGCCGTGGCCAGGAACTCTCCCTTCCGTTTCAAACGAAACTGTTGGGCCAAGCGCAACCTGAGAAGCAAATGCGGAGCCGCCAGAACCTGCAGCCGATCGCCCACAAAAAAGAACACCTGCTGTTAACCAGATCGACGAGATTAATGACCACGCGGCGACCGCATCACCGGCGGAAATCATCCCCACAGCCAACGGTTCCGCCCAAGAACTCCGGCGCGCCCGTGTCGCTGTCATCCCAGCTGGTGTCAGGAGCGCCGACCTACGTGAGAACTCGGCCAAAGAGGGGCGCACGGGACCCCCGAGGCGAGGCAGAAAAAGAGAGGGCGGGTCTGGCACCACTGTGGGCGACGAGACACCCGATTCCTGGCCCAGGAACGTCGCAGACCGATCCCTGGAATCAGGGCAGGCTGTCCCGGGAACGTATTGGGTGTGGAGGACATTCCGGACACACGATTGGACCATGTGGAAAAACGAGGGCGGGCCGACCCAGTTACAAGGAATCCCAAGAATAACACCTCGCGCAAAAAGGTCGACATAAAGTTTTCCGAGGCAGCAGGACGGAGTAAGACTACCTGCTTTATTACCGACCATCTTGTTTAAACTAACCTGTTTTATTACTACACAGCTATCTGTGCGTGGTAGTTTCTGGTATCATTTTCGAATAAAATGATAACAGGAACCACATTTCACATCTTCCACAGACTTCTTAAAGGTCAGGATAGGTCATTGACCTTAACTGACCCAGGTCAACATTTTTTAAAGAGCATACTGCCTGGCGTAATAGTTGATGCTTATCCAAGCGCAAACTAAAAGCGGTATTGTATGATTTTGGCAACACGATCTCCGAAAGGTCAAGCAGGGTCACTGACGTTAAATGAACATCAATTATGTTTTGCTTAGAGCAGGCATCTAGGTTCTGGGGTGCCTTGAACTTCAATCTGGATTTTGACCTTGTTTGACCTTATTTAATCCTAAGGTCATGATGAGGAAACTTAAATTTGGACCCAAGTGAGCTCACGTACAAGTCAACACACCCTGTGAATTTAGTGTCTCTAGCTCTCTTAGTTTCTGGGATCTCAGCGGTGTCAAATTGTCCCCTCACCCGAGCAAAGGGTATTCAGCCGACCACTTCGGCGCGTGTTAAATGCTTGACGCTATTGTGTACGCGTTTGGTCGACGACGAAGCTTCAAACGTTACCGCACCGCTCAGCCGCGCTACAGGTACTTAGCCTTACGCTGAGCGTATGAGGCGTTCACGGAGCGGTGCTCCCATGTCATTGCCGCCGTCTCCCCTGAGCGCTCGTGCGCTGCCCCAACGCCACGAAAGGAGCCGCCGAGAGTGAGAGGAGCCACGTAGCTCCGGACGAGATTGGCTCTCTCAAGTGCTGTGAGCTTCCAGCAGCACCGGCTGCTTGTCCGATTCTGCTCCACACGGGCTGGCCAGCTCGATGGCCACCCTTTCGCGACGCGCGCTCGCCAGTGATGCCTCGGCCACGCGTACGGTAAGCATGTACGGCCCGATCGGCCATGGGCAGCGGACTTTCCCCTCTCCCCACCTCCACCACCATCCGCCGTCCCTCTAACGCCAGGAACGCCAGCTGTTTCAACACCTTCGCCTGCCTCAACACCTGAACAGCAGCTGCTTCTGCACGGAGATAAGCGCTTGGCAGTCTGTATACTGGGGGATCTCCATTTTGCGCATCGGCCGGTCGACTGGAAAGATGGCTGCGATACGGCAGGTGCCTGCTGGCGTCACTCACACGAGGGGCCGGCCGGGCAGCTCCCGTGTCGTGCTGTCCACGGGAAACCCTTCCCGGCACTCCCCGATTTGCCTATTTAACCGCTCAATCTCCCCTCTGCCATCCTTCGGTTCTTCTGCCTGGGCTCCCCTTGGAAGCCTCATCGGGTCTGTCCCCATCTCCTGATCTCGTGCTGCGATGCCCTGTCACCTCGATCCCACCGACGAGTGTTCCCCGTCTGCCAGGTTTTGTCCTCTCGCTCATCGGGCGAGAGAGCAGCGTCCCTTATCCCGGCAGTGAATGCGTTCTCTCCGCGTGGCACCCACGCCCCTTATCATTCATCCAGTGACTCGTATTTGTCTGCTGCTGGTGAGTGCTCTCTTCTCGGCATCGCTCATGGCACATCCGGTGTATGCGTGGCAGGATCGATGCATATTCGCCCAAACGCACCAACTTTTTCCAGCCATGGTCCGTCTTCGTAGATTGCCGTTGTTTTTCCTCGTCATCGCTCTTCAACTGCATCACAAAGAATGTTTTCGGTCTGGAATTTGATATTCTCCGCCTTCTAACGGGGTACTTTGAGCTCGCGCAAAGACTTGTTTGGAATGCGAATCCCACAGCACAGTCGGGCGTGGCGAGCAGCATGTGAGCCCGTCCGGTTAGAATCAGCACCGGAGGGAGGGCTGGATGCGGCGATCATTGGGAGCGGGGGGGGGGGGGGGCTGAAAACTGTGAGGTGACGCATGCAATTCAGACATGCAAATGTTGGCGGACCCCGTGCCAGTGGCGTCCTAAAGCAGCGGCACATAGTCCTGGAAGTGTATTAAGCGGTTCAAGTACCAGGTCCCTGGCATAGTACGATGCTGCGGGAAAGCTGTTTGCGATAAGGCTGCCACCGAGTCACCCGGGTACGTACCGTCGAGATCCGGTAGGCAAGCGTGCTTTTGTGGAGCTGCAGGTAGGAGAGGAGGGTTGGAGTGAAGGGTCACACACTAAAATGGGTAAAATTATTGTGTTCGAGCGATGAAAACGTATAAAAGCACGAGTGATACCAAACGCTAAATAAGAACGGCAAAAATGTGAGAAGGAAGAAATGTGTGGTCGCGATCGATCAGCAAACGTGAACCTGTCGCAGAAATTACGCTCAATTTAGTCAGGGTACTTGAAACGCTCAATTTTTTGTGATCATCTGGAGTATTGACTTTTACCAGCCGGGGAAGTTGACTTCCCCTATGCCTTTCCGAGCACAGCTCAAAAACGAACGCTCGCAGTGACAGCAAATTTGCAGTGCCTTCATATCTATCAACTTGGCATCACTTATACAATTCTAAAATGTTGATATGCCAATGTTAATGACCTAAGCCAGGCTAAACACGTCAACTTCTAAAAACCTTTTGACCACGCATAACGTTTTTGTGCGTGATTTACCACTGCTCCAACTTGTGAAGTAACGGAGCATTATAGTGCCTACATTTTAGGTTTTGTAGTATTTCGAAGCAGGCGAGGTTAGCACCTGAGGCGTGGTCAAGTTTGTTGTTTTTGTAAATTATGCAAATTTATGAGCTTTTTCTGTAGTTTTGATGTTTGTTTATTAGGATAACAGCACTAACTCGCGTGCGCAAACATCACATGAAACAGCGCACGTGCCATTGGCCTAGGTCATGACCTACCTCTAAGGGTGCTGTCTGTAAGCACACGCTCGGTTACAAATAGACAGTTTTATTGGGTAATTTTGGTCACAGAATTTGAATATTCTACTGCAGATATGATGCTTATCATTATAAAGCATAAGGGGGCTACAATATGTCACGTTAAAACACTTAAGATCATATGAGGTCAACCAAGGTCAATATCCATTGTTGTCAGTAGCGGAGAGGCTAGAAATGTCATGTACCAACGTGCTTATCCTCAGTTTGTTACAAATGCATTTCCGAGCGAAAAGACTATGTATGATGCCTACAAAAGCTATGGAAACTTGCGTACCTACAGATGTACAACATACTATTTCTGACCGCAGGAGAACGTTGCACTGGTCACATAGACCCGGTTAATACTTCACGCTGTTCATTTGATGCTTTATGAATTTGACCTACCT